GTCTGCGCTGTTAACATGTAGCCACAGGCCACGTGTGGCCCTTGTGCCCTTGGAGTATGGCTACTGCGACTGAGGAACTGAATTTCTCATTTTATTTGATTTAAATGTAAATAGCCACATCTGGCTGGTGGTGACTATATTGGACGCAGTTCTGGTCCCGGGGTGGCCCACGTGCAGGTTTGCTTAGAACTGAAGGGGTTCCTGGGAGACAGCACGTTCAGTGTTAAACCCGGGAAATCTTGGACAAACCTCTTCAAACGTTCATCCAGTTTCTGACATGCCCAATGCAGTCTTAGGGGACACTCTAGAACCTCCGTCCTGATACCAGTCCTGGGCTGTAAAATGAATCGAAGCTTATGACCTGTATCTTACAACAAGTATCTTACAAATTTGGTAGAAAAAGTACTTCTCGGCTGTTTTGTGTCATCATGCTTTCCAGGGGTTATCATTTTTTGCCTTGTAAATTGCAGAGCTACTGCACTAACTCCTATTTAGCTTAGGATCCTAATTTATGTTTCTGAAGGTTCTTATACAGTTACTTTTTACCCCATCCTGTTTGGGTATTTTGTGTTTCTGTGTTTGCTTGTGATAGCTAAATTTTGTTTCATTTTTGTTACCAAGAAACTGTATAGTAAGAAATTTTATTTGTGTAACAATAAATGTATTTCCAAAAGATAAATAAGTTGTCTTAATTTTCTCAAGTGTCATCATTTAGACCTTTCTATGTATTAGAATTATTCTTATAAATTCTCTCAGGCACCATCATGTGTTGCTAGTGGATGTGTAAATTGTTAAACTTCTGTGGAAAGCAATGTAGCAGAACCAACAACATTGCAAATGCACATACTCTTTGACCCAGCAAATTCACTTTCTAGGAATTTATCTTAAATATATACTAACCTTGTATAGATATGATTATTCATTGCAATGTCATTTGTAATAGTAAAAGGTTGGGTTAAAAAGGCATGTTAAAGACATTATAGCCCTTCCTGGAACAATTCAGTCCTAAAGGTCAAGTAGAGCAAGGTAGGCATCTTTGCTCGTTGGGGTTGGGTGTCAAAGGCCAGAGAGAGTTGTCAGAGCCCAGGTAAAATGTGGAGGACATTCACATGAGGGAGGGAGGCAGCATCAGCCTGATGCAGGGTATTGGCTCCTGAGTGGGATATAAAGAGTTTCCATGAAGGGGGGGTGGGGGGGAGGCAGTGACGGGGAGGTTGCTTACATTCGGAGGGATTGATCAAATAAGTAAATATATTAAGGATAATGGGAGTCTGGTTTCTCTGTCAGAGAAGGGAGTTACAAACATGATAAGGGAGAAATGAACTCTGTAGTGTTGGATTAAACTTAGAAACAGCACAAACTCACAGCTTGAAATATATATACAGAAATAAATATAGATGTATATGTGATATATTTTTATATATATGTATATATGTACATATATACACACATCATATATATGTGTATGTGTGTGTGTGCATTTCCCCTAGCTCTGTCCACTGAGAAAGCCTAGTAGCACCAATAATAATGAGCCCACATAGTGCCCATATCTTGGCTTCTAAATATCATTCTCCACTAAAAGGAACCAAGAATCCTTGGAGAAATGGCTGATTCCAACAACGGGGTAGGGAAAGCACAAAGGTGAGCCAGATCATCTAGTGCCAAAGTAAGGATGTGCTCAAAGAATGATGAGAACTCGTCAAGAGCACACAGAAGCCAGCTTGAATAGGCTCCCAACGGCCCTGCTCTGAGACAATTTGAGCATTAAAATAAATAATAATGGTTAGTACATTATATCCCATTGAATAAAGTGGGAAATCATTAGTCCATAGTGATATATTTAAATAAATGAATAAATTGATAAGGAATAAGATATTTCCATATTTTCAAAGATTACCCCCACCAAAATACTATTACAAATGGGAGCAAAAAAAAGAGTATTGTGTATGAAGAATGATGTCAAAAAAATAAAAATAGGGGTTGGCCAGTTAGCTCAGTTGCTAGAGTGTGGTGCTAACAAGGGTTCAGCTCCACATACTGGCTAGCCACCAAAAAAGAAAAAACAAAACAAGAAAAGAAAACCTGAATTGATTGCAAAAATAAAAATAAAATTTTAAAAAGAGAAAGAGTAAATTTACAGTGGAGAAGTTTGTCAGACTTCACATTAATCAAATGATCAACATGAACATCATTATAATGGGACATACAGTAATTGTGTGCCACCTGATAGGATGCAATTAGAAGAACAAAGCATCACTTCTGTTATATTCTTGCCAAAGATGCATAACCTGATTCTAATCATGAGGAAGCATCAGACAAACCAAATTAAAGTTCATTCTACAAAATATCTAGCCTTTTATCTTCAAAGGTGTTATTTATGGCTATAAAAGTCAAGGGAAAATTGAGCAACTGCACCTGACACAATGGACAGTACTGCAAAAACTAGGAAAATTTGAATGGTGTCTGGGAATTAGATGGTAGAAATGTATAATGTTAATTTCCTGATTTTGATATTTGTATGTGGTTATGTAAGAGAATGTTTTTGTTTGTAGAACAAAACAGGAAAGTGTGGGACATCAGGGGTGATGGGATATCAGGTCAGCAACTTACTCTCAGATGGTTCCAGAAAAAAAAAAAATGGTTTGTACTGTGCTTGCAACTTTTTTGTAAGCTTGAGATTGTTTCAAAATCTAAAAATAGATTGAAAAAATTAGGGTACAGCAATACAATAGAACTCTATGCATTGGAAATTTTATGTACTCATGTGGAACAATTGCCAAGATAAGTTAATGAAAAAAGAAAATGTGAGACAAAAGAATTTTTAATGCTTGGGAATGCATATGTATAGTCTGTCTCCAGAAGAATACACAAAAACTGGTAACTTTTTTAGAAGAATTGAGTGGTATGGGAAGGAACAGAGTTAGGAGAGAGACTGTTCATTGTAAACTTTAGTACTTTTAAAATTTTGTTCCATGTGATTATACTTCTTATTCAATAAATTAATAAAAATGAAAAGATAGAGTTTCTTAACTTGTCAGCTATAAGTGAGCTCAGGACATTTGTGAATCTCACAAAACTTAACAGAATTTTGTAAGTCTGTATATTTTTCTGAGAAGAAAGTCATAACTTTCATCATAGTCTATGGCATAGGAATCTGTGATCCAAAGAAGATTAAGAACCATAGATGTAGAATAAACTCAAATAAGAAGTAAGGGGAAAAAAGATAAAATAAAATTCCTCAAAATTCCTTCCTCCAAGTTCAAGAGGTTGCATTAAATTTGCTTTTTATCTTACATATCTTAAGATATGAGAAATAAACAAAGCAAAACAAAAAGCAAGTAATTCATGTGGTAGGCACTAGTATAAACAAAAATGACTAGAATATTGTGCTCTCAAAGAATAGGACATAAAAACAAATGTGTCCAATAAAATTAAATATTAAAGGAGATACTGCAGAGGCATTTCGGAAGCATTAAAGATGGAAGGAAGTAACTGTGCCTAGATGTTTGTGGAAGGGTCAGAAACCTCTTCAGAGAGGAGGTGATTTTTGTGGAGGGGTCTTATAGCATGAGTAAGAATTAACCCAGTGGCAGTTCCAGAATGTCTTAAGTAAAAGGAGTGAGTAGCAACAGTCTAGCTAGAAAGAAGGACTAGGGAACTTGTCTTAAAGCTGCATTTTCATGGCAAGCCCATTATTTTTACATAGAGCCATGTTATCTGGCTGCCAG